TGATAATAACATGAAAAACCGTACCACGTTTATGTAACTACCATGTTTCTATAACGGACTAAAAAGTATTAGAGGAATTAATTTATACTTAATTTGATATTTGATAATTTAATGTAACATGTTTTTATAACTGATTTTGGTCTTTGCGAAGTTTTGCTTACCCCTTGGACCGCTTCAGGAATTTTGGCCCCATACAAATCCGTAATCGCTGCCTACTTTTCTTGCTCGTTACGTTAACGCGACGTATACGTGTCCAATTGAGCTGCAGTGACAAGGAATTGCACACTTTCTACGCAGGCCACCTGTCTTACCAGTTTTATTAGGCATGGTAACTATAAAGCGCCCTCCGCCAATTACTTGATACGCGTGTAATAACTAACCGTTTCTCTAATGAACGCGCCCGGAGACCAGCGTGAGGTAAAAGCCTCGCAACTTATATTCACCACCGTTAATTGATCTACATGTAACTTACGTTAAACTGGTCCTCGTCAATTGCTTTATTACAGATTTCGAAGATTGTGTCGCGTTTTGTAGTGAATGGGAAAGTTTTGGGATTTGTTATTTTAGTTGTTTCTTTCATTCCTCCCACATTCCGATGGTAGGGCCACGTTGCAGCCTCGGCCGTTGCACGAATGGGCAGGCTCGTCCGGGTAAGTACCACGACCTCATAGAAGACCAGCGTAAAGTGGAAGTATAATACTTTCGCGTTTCGTCTGGTGAGTGAGGTGGCTGGAGCCCAATTTTCAAAAGGTGACAACCTTTTGAAAATTGGGCTCCAATCTTCGCATTGGGACGCATCTGCAACCAGCAGCAGGTGTAGCAGATGTCCATGGGCGGCGGTATTTACTTAACATCAGGTGAACCGTCTGCTCGCTTGACAACTTTTAACATAAAAAAATAAATAAATAAAAGAACAGGCCATGCCTAGTGTGGTGGCCAGACAAACGAAATTGTTTTAGGATTACACTTTTGCGCTTGTGGTGGTTAGTGCGGTCTTTTTAGAAATTCTTATCGGATACAGAGAAGCACGGAGGCTCACGATGATTGGAATGATATGTATGTTGTTATTTTAAAAGTTAGAACACGACATAAAGTCCTTGCCGCCGCACAAGGACGTCTAAAAAATCTGACGGATTGTAGATGCGTTGCTAAAAGTGAAAGGTCGCCATTACATCACTCATCAGACGGACGCGAAAGAATAATACTTGCACTTCACGCCTTCTGTGAGGCCATGGTACTACCGCGGACGAGCCTGCCCATTACGTTACGGTGTAAAAAATTAAAGTAAAATATCAGGCAATACATATTCCACTGCTGGGCAAAGACCTCTTCTGGGTATCAGGGCATAGTCCACCACGCAGCCCCACTGCCGATTGGCGGACTCCAAATATCTTCGAAATATTTTTTTGGTATCATTTCATATGCAGAGTATATGCAGGTTTCCTTCACCGCTGAGCACGTGATAATTCGGCACTTAAAACCTCAGGTTGCTCGAGTATGTTTAATTAAAGGCGAGCGAAGGGGTACTGAGCTATTACGGCTATATCACGGTATAGCATAGAGTGTATGCATAAATATCTAGGGGTTATGATATGTTGATTCAACTACTTCTATTAAGAAGTAGTTGAAACAACATTTTATCATATAACAACGACGCCGCTATCATATCGAATCGTCCTCCCGCAATAGGGTCGCGATACGTGAAACCCAGCGGGCGCTCGGACCGCGTTATGCGTAATTCATTCCGTTTTTTGCTCGGCGCTGGCCTTTTACAATTTCATAAGAAGCCGCAGTGCACGTCGAGCGTTGATTTGCGTTCGCAACTCGTGGCGTTCGAGAAAAAGGCGATTTAGTGCCTACCGAATAGCGATATATCGATCCCGGTACGGTAAGTTTACAGGTTTCTTTCGAGTGTTGATAGCAATTGCGAAATTTCTTTCCCCTTCTATCATCAGACGAATAGATACTAAATTTCATGCGATTTCAACACTGAGTTAGGGGGAGATAATAGATTAACAACCCTCAAAACGTAGCTTCAAAACAATGATGCAAAATAGCTCAACTTTGCTGAGTAAGACGTAAAGTTTACAAACATTATTTACGCGACAACATAGACACATCCCGTCGACTATCTGGTCGATACACCATGTACGAGCAATTGATTTGGCGATGTATTAACATTTTTCGTTAATACATCGATATGTAAAATGCTTCCCCATTTGCGGCCGTATCGTGATGGGATTAACGATCAAAATCGTCCGCGGCGTGCGCCTGGCGAGAATAATACGCTAATTGGCGCGGATCGGCGTAATATCTCGAGCGCTCAGCATCCCGTATCGGTTCGCCGCTAGATTACAACCGGGAGATAGTTTATCTGATATCGACAACATTTTTATATCAATTGGTCCTGTCGCCACAATAATCGGCGAGTCGATATAATGAGGGTTACAATTTGAAATGGGCTTTGATGCATAGACAGTCGATGTATGTATGAAACGGCTCCAGCGATTTTCATGAAATTTAGCATGGGCGTAGATTCGGGGGCGAAAAATCGATCTAGCTAGGTTTCATTTTTAGAAAATGTCCTTTTATCCCCGTTTTCAGGGAATGAAAAATATCATTCGAATATGACAGTAAATTTTGCCGCAAAAAAATGTTATAATAGCTCAGTAGGTAATCGGGCGGCCCCAAAACAGACGGCCGTGGTTCGTGTCACGTTCATTTACACACTCTTTTTTTTACTTTTTTTCGATTCCAGATCATTGCGTTCTTTATTTTTTATTTTTTGTTGATCCAGATGATTCTGTTATTTTTCCCTTTTTTTTTTAAAGTTGTTTCTTTTGTGAAAAACACCACTTCATATTTTCTTATTATTAGGTCGGTAAGATCGAAAAATATTATGCATATTTCATTACTCAGTAATTTGTATCTAAATGTAATTTCCAAAATACACGATTTACCAAAAAAAAAAAAAAACAAACCGAGCAAAGTTCGGTCCTCCAGGTACTAACTAGTACTGTAAGCGCGTTTGGAAACAAATATAAGAGTAATGTTTTCACACCGACAGCGAGTAAGCGACACGTTAAAGAAATAGAACTTCTTGCGTGCGCACATAAGTACATAAATACTTTTTTTAAGAGTATTATAATAGTATTTATATTTATGCATATAATATTTTGTAAAAAAGGTTTCAAAACATTTCTATATTCAATTTAAGCTTGACCAAAGTTTTAATGTAAAATATCATTGGTTCCCTTAATAAGACTTGTCCAAGTAATAACCGGCAAGACCGAACTTGTTTTCATATAACCTATATGTTTTTAGGGTTCCGTAACCAAAGTGTAAAACGGGACCCTATTACTAAGACTCCGCGGCCTTTCTGTACGTCTGTCATCAGGCTGTATGGTCTCATCTCATGAACCGTGGTAGTTAGATAGATGAAATTTTCACAGAAGATTCATTTCTGTTGTCGCTATAACAACAAATACTAAAAAATAGAATATAAAAAAATATTTAAGTGGGACTCCAATACAACAGACATGATTTTTTTTTGCAGTTTTTATAGATGGAACCCTTCGTGCGCGATTCCTACTCTTTTTTAATTCCGTCGAAAAACAGAGTTCAGAAACGATTACAGTTTCTCTTTATCGTATCTAAATCAATGGATGCTTCGAGTTCTTTGCCGCGATCTTCTACATCTTGCACATCGTGGGATAGTGAGCTTCATGTTTTTGCTAATTGATTTTATCAATGCACGGCTCTAGTGTGGGGCCATGAAACTCGTGGGACATTGCGACAACAACGACATTTTATTTCATTTAAATTTTTATTAGTACTATATTCTGGTCGTTGCGTCGAATGAGAATGTGTGAACAATTTTATTTTGGTATTTTATGTATCGTATCACGAAATCCATCTTGTTTTCTCGAACATTTTTAGAAAGAGGTGACTTTTAAACGGTGAGATTTACGGATTTGCAATTAAAAAGGTTTTTTGATAAAATTTAAAAGGATTGTTCACGTTGCACTGTTGTCTCAGTGCTAGATGGCCTGATGTCGGATTGAATTATCGACAATTATTATTAGTTTTGTTCACTTTAAGTATGGTATATTTTAATTTCAATTTATAATTGCATCTCTTCATTCTTTTTAAAACAAGCATAACATTGAACTTTGATTGAGTATGATTGAGATGTGGTAGAGTTTTTTGACCATCAATAAGTAAGTGTAATGCTTCTATATTGAATAAAGATATCTTGACTTTGACTTTGATTGGTACAGAGTTTATAAAGAACTTTTGTTTTAGGGATACATACTTCATCGTGATCAAAATAATTTCTTTCTTTCTTTTAATTTTTATTGAAGTCATATATTTTGTTTACAAGAATTAAGTGAGTACAAGTGCAATAGACAGACAAAGATGAATACGACATATTTTGCAGACAGACATGAATACGATATATATAAGTAAGAACAAATGGTGAACACGGTTACAAATCTCATGTTTAACGGCCCAACAACATTGACGCCTCCTCATTATGCTGTCAAAACGAGTGCAGGCGAACGTGCAGTGCTTCGATTTACGAGATCTCTGATATATAGCTTGCTACGAAAGATTATTCGGGCCTAGATCTCTAAAAAGACATCGTTTTTATAACAAAAATTGAGGGCCTTTGTTATTTAATTGGGCTATCGACTAGCCTAGGTGTTGTTTTTGATTTTTTTACTATTGATTCTGATCCTTAATATTCGTGTAGCTTTTAACGTAAATTCGGATTTCTTTGAATTTGTGTAATAACAAATTATAGAGTCTATACGCACGTCAATTATTAACGCACGGTAATTTTATGAATCAGAAAGACGCCACCGAGATGTCTGACTGCGATATATACCGATAATACTTCAAGTATTATCAGTATATACTCGTATCGCAGTTATGTTACAATATATGATATTAAAAATAATAAAGATAGTATAATGTGATAATTTGTATATAACGGTATGTCGCTTTCGATTGTAATACAAGCCTCGTCCTCTAAAAAAAGTCTAGAGCACGGTATCCCAAACAGAATAGCGGCCGACAACGGGCGTCGAGTGTTCGTTACAAATCGTCGGAATCAATTACCGGATAATGACCGGTGAGGTTCAATCATCGTTTCTTATTTGTCATTCATAGAAATTGATGAGCGCTTGGCACAAGGCACGGGAGCGCGCGAGAAGGCGGCTGCCATCTTGTGGGATAGTTTTCTGATTGTGTCATCGCGCGGTACGTTGCGTTAATCCCATGTGGGATAAAATTTTGTGTGATTAACAAACAGACAACTGAGACTTGATGTTGTTTTTGTCCGTGATTTTATATTCGAGAAACCCCATGAGAGAAATCTTCACTTCTCCGAAAGCGTCTTAGAAATTGTAACGACAGAATCCGTAAAAGAAAGCCTTTTTAGGATTATTTATTTTAGCTCATTAAGGTGTTCGAGTCTTCAGATATTTTTTAAAATGTATATCAAAATGAAATTTAGACTCATAAATACTCATCAAAGTAGGCTCTACTTTAAAAACCGGGAATCTCCATAAATGAAAATCGATATTTAAAAGAATCTGGAGTCACCCAGTCTAAGGTCGTATAGAATCAAGTTTTTGTTAAAAAAAAGTTTACTTTGCTTCGTCGGTGCGGTCACGAATTTGATTATCGAAATCATTTCTAAGGAATATTTGGTTAAACCTTCATAGTATTCAATTAAATCAATTAATATTCAACAAGCGAGTTCTAGGGGCTTTTAGTGACAACCGGTGTCCGCAGGTCAGTCACCATGGTGACAATGAAAGGTATCTTGGAAAGGTATTTTGAAAATAACGGTTAATTTCATTTTTTCTCGTTATCTTTCATTGAAACAAATTATTAATAGATGGCATTATCGTACATTCTCTATAAGTAGTTTCATGAATTTTTATTTACTCAATAACTTTTTGTCAATAGCGGAAAAGATAAATTACAAAACGGTATATTAAATTTTATTAAAAATTATGGAAATTATGACGTTCCGACAAAAACACCTTTAAGAAATATTATGTTCGCATCACGTCTTTCGTAACTTGCACCACGCGCCAAAAATTCAAAAACGTAAAAGATTTAAACAAACATTCCTATTAAGAGCGATCGAACGGTGTCGGCTCACAAAAGATATCATTAAACACTCGGCCAGCGCCTCGTAGGTGATCATTTCATTAATGATAGCCTTCAACCGCTGATGATAGGCGCTTCGTCATTAATCACGAGTTCATTAATTGTATGGGCTCGATGTAAAGCAGTTCGATTAAATTAGAACGTCATACTTCTGCATTAGTACGGGAGAAGCTTCGTTTCTAAAGAGATAGGAAACGTATAGAGTGTATAAAATATGATGTATGTGTCAATAATTCGAAAATGAATTTAATCAACACTGTATAGCAATATTTTTCTGTTTTTACATACGTTACACAAACTAAACGAAATAGTTGTGAATATTTATCGGTGGACCAGAAAAATTACTTGTCCCGTGTGCAAATCAAATACACTAGTCGCTACGCAGAAGACAATATCTTCGTTACTCCACTAACTGGGCTGTTATACTTATTTTGCGAAAACTATAACCCTCGCTTGGCTTGTGGCTTAGAACTTTGCTTTTTGACAATTTAGCGTTACATTCGATTTTATAACGTGAATAGTTTCGAGTTCTTAGTCGCCATCTTCCACTTGTTCCACATGGCGGGAGTGTTTGCTTCTTGTTTTTGCTAGTTACCTCACTTCCGGACTGAACACATGAGCGGCCTCAGTTTTGAATTGATTGGATATATTCATATTCATATGTGGTAAAAGTTTCTTCCTATTGAAATATTTTTTCCTATGATTAATGTATATTTAATATGTAATATATATAAATTGTTCGTATAAGCGGTTTTTTTGCGTCATCTATATTATTAAACAATAAACACCATTGTGTTTACCTTTCATTTAAATGCAAAGAAACAATCTTAAATTTAATTTTTAAGTGAATCACATCAGAGTTATAATTGGGTTTTTTTTTGTAATATATTTAGTTGGTGGGCCTGTTTAAAGAAATAAATTAATTAAAAAAAAACGTATTTTGAAAGCATTCGTTATTACTAAATAACGGATTCCAGTACCAGGGGAGCAGAGAAGCGTGCGCACGTAAAACCGCGAGGGCACACGCCCGCCAAAGCAAACAGGGCGCCCGACGGAATCCCGTTGCGGCCGGTCTCGGCTCTTTTTTAATCAACCCGACGATTGTACTTTCACGAAGACGCCCCGAAAAAGAAAGTCCACGGGGGCCAAAAAAACCACGCATTACGCTCGCAGCCCGCGGCGGGACGCGGAAACACAATGTACATGCTACGCGTAATTATCGAGGGCTAGTGATGCGATGCTGTCGATAGCTAGGGCTGCGGGATTTGTGGTTGGGACATTTTTAGCATAAGCTTTGTATCGATGTTTACTTACGGCCACTTCTTATTGATAGTTCCTAGTGATAGGTAGATATTTGAAATTAGCCCTATAATACTTATGTCAAAATTCCATCGCCAGTCCAAATCTATCTGTAGAATGAATATAGGAACTGGTCGTTAATATACATAGTGCAGCTTGTCTCTATAAAAAGATTTTTTGGTACGCGAAAAGACAGCCTTATAGTGACGGGCTTATGTCGTAAAAGATAACTAAAAGTGACACTTTCGAGTAATCGCACGACTTTTATTTGCCGTATTTATGGCAAACTGCCAAGCACTGTTCGTAAAAAAACATCGATTTTGTCAAACAAATTTAAAGAACTGTGATAAGAATGGAGCAGATTTCGCGCGTTGTTTAATTTGAATTTAGCTCTCATTCGATATTCAATAATGACGTCGATTACTCCTTAATACGTCGGTAAAAATATCATGAAATCATTAAAAAATTGGTGGTACTAATCGTATTATTTAATTTTCTAAGTAGAATATCAAATGTATGAGTGGAATTCTTTATTCTTTACTGTACACAGAGAATAAGGGAAAACAAAATTACAAAAAACAAATAATGTATAAAGGCGAGCTTAACCCTAAAAAGAGTTTTCTTCCATCAAACCCTGACATTGTGAGTTTGACAACCCTAGCGTTAGTGTGTCCGTATTAACGTCTCAGTTAGCGAGTGTTTTATGGCAGGTGGGCATTACCACGTGATTAACTGGGCAAATGCTAGGATTGGGAGCCGATAATAGCCCGGCTATTTTTGATTCAGCCGTATTACTCCGCTGTTGAAGTTCTGAATACCTTGATAACTTTGGCAATAAAACTAAACAAGAATTTGTGCCCAAATGCACTTTGATGTACGGTGTGCGTGTTGAGCGTGTAGAAATAGCTCGTCGAAATAGACTCAAAGAAGACCGGTATAATGCTGTAAATGCTGTGGTGTCTTATCGCTTACGATTAAGACAACCGTGATCGTTTCCCAACTGCCATAAAAATTAAATCCCTTCCTACCTCTGGTTGGAATATTCAGCATATTCTTTAACAAGACAGTGGGTACTTACAATATACTATCAACTACCCAATTGGCGTAGTTGATAGTGACCCTGTCTCTTGCGCTAACGGTTGTGGGTTCGATCCCCGCTACTATTTTTTGTGTGATGAACATAATTTTTTTTTACGGTCTAGGTGTTTATATATCTAAGTATAACGTGTATATTTACAAAAGAAAAGTACATTTAAGTATGTTTATCAGTTTTCTAGTGCCCATATTACCCATAGCATTGCTTAGTTTGGGACTAGATAACGTTGTGTAAAATAATGTCCCAAAATATTTAAAAATGTCCTGATATATTCAAATAAATGGTGCGTAATTATTAAGGTGCTTGCGCCTTATATTATGTTTTGAAACTCGACCAACTCGGAGAAATGTCCGTCAACGCGAAAGGTATTCATTATCTAAATGGAGGAGTGTGGAAGGAGCTACTGCCGGTTAATTTGTATAATTAAATGTAGAACAGACTATACCATAGCATCCTCCCCATCAAAGGCTCGTTACTCCGCTTTGTTCGTCCAACCACTGCCGTCTTCCTTACGTCACCACTCCATTACTTAGTGAAGAAAAGTAAAGTAAAAGACTATGTATGTCCCACTGCTGTGCAGAGGCCCCCTCTGTGCAGAGGGTATTACGGCAAATTCAATCATGATCCCCACGGCGGATCGGCGGACTTCACATATCTTCATAATAATTTTATTTTTATTTCGAAAATAGGCAGGTTTTACGATGTTTTCTTTCACCGTTGAGCACATGATAAGTCAGCACTTAATATGATCAATTTCATTGGTTCCGGCACCGGGGATCGAACTCAGGTTGCTCGAGTATATAGCATTAAAAACATGAGCCTGGACACTGAGCCATCACGGCGATTAAGCTTCAAAATATCGAAGGGCCTTTTACGGCATCGCTGTCTCCAGTAAAGCTTTACATAACGCTAATAACTGACTCAAAGCTAACTACTTTTCTGTGATAGGGCCACGCAGTAATGTTCGTTGTTGCACGAATGCAGCCCATGGGAAGTACCGCGACCTCACAGAGGACCGGCGCGGTGTATAAGCTTTATACTTCTGCGTTTCGTCTGTTAAGTGTGGTAACCGGGCACACATTATGCGGGTGTAGTAAATGTCAATGGGCGGCGGTTATCACTTAACATCAGTTGAACCACCAGCTCGCTCACCACCTTCTCACATAGAAAAGACTACTCCATAATCCGATTTACTGTTTAATAAAAACTAAGGAGGCTACAATTGTAATCTTTTCGGATTATCGACAACACGCAAACGTCGCGTCGGTCGCGTCACTAAATCGATGCAATTACCGGGCGACGAGCGCCACGTTTACTTTTCGCGGGAACATCAAAGGCGCCGCGGCCCCGCGCGCAAAAAACCGCCTTTGTGGATAGCCTTCGCAGGTGCCGCGGCCGCCTCAAATCGAGTGTAATGTGATACCTTTATCAAAACACCGTCTTTGGCGACGCAGATATCGAAATGGCGCTTTTCCTGGAAACCGTTGTTACCCCTTTACCGGGTTTTGGTTACTGAAGCTGATGCTTGAAGCATATCTAAGGCTTCATGTTTTTACGCTAAGAGTTTTCACCGGAACTTCTTGATATGTTATAACCTAAATACACCGAACGGCGGTCCGCTAATCCGCAGTGGGGTTGCGTGGTGGACTATGCCATGATACCCTCTGTACAGAGCAGACCTTTGCCCAGAAGTGGGACATTTATAGGCTATTACTTTACTGTTACTCCCAACGGGCTAGTTAGATTTGACAGTTCGCTTTTTAATGTAGGTACATAATAGATTCTTTTAAACGGTTCATGAGACAGTCCGAGAAAGAACTTTGCCTTGATCAATTCTCATGTGATATGTTCTCATTATTAAAATGGTATAGTTATTACTACTACTATCCCAAGACCTCACGCACACACACACCCACACAAATAGATACACACACGCGCGTACAAAGTCATACACACGCGTGCGCGCGCCCACACACACACGCACACTTATCATAGACCGTTTAGAAATTGCCAATTAAGATTATAATTAAATCATAACTATTGATTATGTTACACCGTTTGTCAATCTGCACGAGATTGACAAACCGTGAGATCCAGGCACGTGGCTCCAATGATACCTCATCAGCTTGACATGGTTAAAGGAAAATGTCAATATTTTTAATATCGCTAAAATATTATATTATTTTTAGAAATTGGTGAACTATAATTAATAACTAAAGAAGAAGAAGAAGAATTAATAAAACAAAATCGTAGTTCACATTAATAAGATAATTTGAGGGCAGTTATTATGTAGCCTCCGTACAGAGGAGGCCATTGCCCAGTAGTGGGACATATACAGGCTTTGCTTTACTGTTTTATCGTGTAATTTATACGGATTTTTTTTTATGGAACTTCGCACTATAATACCACCATGAAGTTACATAAAATAAAATTCTTGATGACATGAAGTACTAATATTTGTCTATAGGAATACATTCGTATAAACACACTTTGGTACATGCATGTCCCTTCAAATTTATTCGTGAACGATTACCGTTTATTAAAAGGCCGAGCAATTTTTACCACAATACATCACTTGTCGAGTTCGTGATTTAATCGTGTATGTTTTAATTCGCGCGAGTTTATCGCCGGCCGCGGTAGAGCTTGTAATTTCGGCCCGTTGGCAAAACAATCAGTGTATGCGGCGCGCTCGTAAAGGTCATTAATATGCGGTGGAATTTAATCGAAACATTTAATGAAAGGCGCGCGCGGTTCGTTAGGCGCGGGGACGTCGCGATTTATCGACTCTCCGACACATTTATCGATATCGACATGTCGTCTTTGTGTATAGCCCATCACTACGTTTGTTAATGCGCGGGATTTAGTTATAACACTAAAGAGATTCTTCGCTTTAATGCTTCTTTTGAAACTATTTGTTTTACAAATATAAATCAGTTCATTCCTAACACATACCAAGCTATTTTTTATTCCTTATTATTCTATCTCCCTTATTGCGAGTGAGATTTTGTATCGTTAAGCTTGTTCTCTCAAATCACCTACAATTTCTTCAAAACGTATACATCGCCCGTAAATGTCTTTTTGGTAACACAAACCAGATAACTTATCCAATTAAATCTTATTACGATAGTAAATTATTGCATTTTCCTAGTTGTTAATTAGTTGAAATAAGTTGTTGTTGGTTAGTTGAAGCTGGGGATAACTGCAGATCACCAAACCGGACCCAATTTCCGGAACCGGAAAACTAATATCAACTTTAAAAAGCGTCTTAACACTTAGTAAACAGCAAAGAACACATTACGAAACAATTCATACTAGTAGAGTAAAAGTAGATGTTCGAAGTTCGCAACAATATTATATTATCTACGCAGACGTAGAAGCGGGCAGCAGCTAGAATAAAATAATAGTACTCAACTTCGACTTTGACACGGTTAGAATTTTAGCTTAAACGAGTGAATAATCGAGAGCTTGAATAAAAAAAAATTAACTCGCGAAAGCTAGTGACGGCAATCCCGGGGACGCGCTGCGGTATCCCCGACGTACCCGGCAACTATTCCCGGCCCCGGGAACACAAATTAAAGCGCCACCTTATCGCCACCTAGCGCCGCGCCAGATAGTGCGAACGGGAAGCGGGGGCGGAATTATGGCGCGCGAGGCGGGCTTCTGCATCTCGCCGGCCAAAGGTGCCGCTAGATACGGCCGCCGATTAGATCCGCCCGCGCCGGATCCGCGGCGGACGCGTATCGCGGACAATAAATTGGCAATACGTTAGATAGAGACGTGCCGCGCGCGCCAATTATTCGAGCGCGCGGATCTAGCCGGCCGCGTCGATAAAGCCGTTGTTTTTCAATTCGCCCCGGAATGCCTTCGGCGTGGAGCGTCGCTTTGCTGCGTTAGATGCAATTTCGTCGGTGGGGGAGATTAACACAGTCTCGCGCGTGATTTGTGGAGAGATGTAGGGAAGAGATTGTTTTTGCTGTCTAGCTTTACGAATTAACTATTAAAGAATTAACTGTTAAAGTTCCTTACAGTACTTTGTTATCATAACTTCTACACCGACTCGAATCTGTGATCTTGGACTAAGACTAGACGTTCCATTAACTGTCCCCTGCTCTTTTTTTATGTGAAAAGTTGCCAAGCGAGCAGATGGTTCACCTGATGTTAAATGAATACCGCCGCCCATGGACATCTGCAACACCCGAGGGTTTCAGATGCGTTGACAACCTTTTGAAAATTGGCCTCCGGCCACCTCACTCACCTAACGAAACGCGAAAGTATTATACTTCCACTTTACGCCGGTCTTCCATGAGGTCGTGGTACTTACCCGGACGAGCCTGCCCGTTCGTGCAACCGCCGTGGTTGCTGCGTGGCTCTACGCCGGTCTTCTGTGAGATCGTGTTACTTACCGGACGGACCTGCCCATTCGTGCAACAGCGAACACTGTTGCGTGGCCCTACTACAGTCAAAGTTATAAAAATTATATGGTAAGTTATATTAGGAATATTGAAATCGTCGCCTGTCTGGAATGTTTTCTATTGTTTCAACCAGATGGCGCTTAACTTTATTGCGTTAATTCCACGAACAACAAGTAATTGCACGATCATATATCTAAATTGTAGTTAATCGAAACAGCAAGTACCAACAAAGTTATTAATCAAAAAAGTGTAGAACGATATATACTTACATAGTAATTCTCGCCAATCTTTTACGTTTGCTGGCGAGACATGCTCGTTTTTAAAATAATTCCTTCTAAGCACGCTAGTAATTAAAATTATTCATATAAGTATTATGCATAAAACTTATACACTACTGTAATTCTAGTTGATGATACGTAGTCCTATCGGGAGATGTTAGATGCTTATTGTTTGTAGGAGTTTGTGCGTTGCTATTCACATTAACAAATCTTAGCCATCCCCCCCCCCCCCCCCCCCCCCAACAATCCCGTACTTCATTATCCCTAATTGACGTCCCACGCGAACAATGTTGCCCGGTCTAGTGCTGGTCCGCAAAAAGTGCCGATCTATCGATCCCGTCCACTCACGTATCGGTTTTTGCTAGCCGGCATCGAACCGCCACCAGAACAATGTGGCGCCAATTATAATATCGACCGTTCGTTCGGCGGTGCAACACTGGATGCGGCCGCGCAAACTGCCCCCGACCCGTCCGCTATCGTGATACGGTCGATTTTGCCGTGTCCCCCGCTTTGCTGGCTGTACTAGCGCTGTCAAGAATAGGTCCATAGTCCGTACGCACTTTAAGCCGAACAAAAACCGTTGTGTAGCCATGAATAAAGCATGAACAAGCGACAAATAGTGCGGATAAAGGTCAGTCCCTTTATTATCGATGCGTCGATTGGTGGAGTCGGTTCTCTAGCGGCAAAAAACATCGATACACCGCTCCCATGCAAAAAATCGCCCCGCTCTAATCATAGTCGCTCGTCCTTGCCTACATTACAATGGCTCCGTTCAATAAAGCGGATAGATTGCGCTGGAAAGAGACGACTGCAATAAACATAATGTCTCTTTCGATCTCTCATTACTGCCATTTGTCATTGTTAAGTTTTTTTTTAATGTTTATTACCCACCTACTTCTAGCGTGCCTTGTTTGACTGTCACATACGTTACTACAGCACGCATGTTTTAAATATATAGCCCATCAACTTAAATTAAAGGCTTCAGATTCTACTAGAGTACATCCAGTTCAATCGGCATTTGAGCGTATTTGCATATGTAAAGGTCCTTTAAACAAATGCTTGTAAATCATTCGCGACTCCATTAGAGTTTGGTGGACTTCAACATTTTGGTAAACGATAAAATAGAGTCGTTCGACTGTCGCACCGTGTATCGATATTTTCGGGCGGGATCGAATTGTGAGCGTCATCTAGTAAGTCGATATATTCGGGCTGGATACGGTGCGTATAGAGTGTGTCCAGTGCGGTACAGCCAGACCGCGCTGGACAGCGGCGTGCGTGGAGCCGCAACGTAGAGTCACTCACGCTGCATCTCGTTGACTGAGGCCGGTGGACGCCACGCCCCGTGGCCCGCCCCTTCCACCGCGGCTCACTTCGCGCCGGGAAAGTGGAAACTCGCAGGCCTAGTGGGGCGTCGGCCCGTTCCGCGCCAGCGACTCCACACTGCAGCCGAGGCGTTGCTCTCGCAAGGCATCGACATGGCAAACCACAAACCTTTCCAGACTTTGCACCAAGCAGGCAGTTTTTAAAACGTTCGATTGTAATACCAGTTATAGAAGTACCGCTTCATTACTTCAGCCAATGCATCAGATAGACCATGTGTAAAAACGTCTTAAGTCCTAAGGGCTTTCGAAAAAAAAATTGTTAGTATTTTAAGAGATAAAGAGCATCCTACATTAATATGCTGCATTTTAAATTATTCAATTGTATTCGTCCAATGTGACGTGAATAAACAATCACATCGTTTATTTGTTGTCCTATTATTAGTGTGTATGGTTTCTGAGTTACAATGAACTAACTGTCCGTGATTTTATATTCTCGAAGAAATATTTCACATTTCGAATGTGAAATATTTCTAATGTGAAAAGTGTTGAAAGCTGTACAATCTTTCTAAGGAACGAGTAAAAGAGTCGTGATTGTCGGGTGTAAGTTTTAATTCAACAATATATTCAACATATACTCGAGCAACCAGAGTTAAAAACCCGCTGCTGGCACCGATGAAATTGATATTTTTAAGTCTTGACGTATCACTTGCATAGCGGTGAAGGAAAACATCGTGAGGAAAGTTGCGTATTTTCGAAATAATAACAAAAAGAAATATTTCTAAGGTATGCGAAGTCCGCCAATAGAATCATATATATCAATAGAACATAGAATACAATCCCGACGCTTCGATTATTCACGTTTTGTTAATTCACGCAACGGGCCGGTGTATAATTACATTATTGGGATAGACGCACATTAAATCTAGAGTAGAACTAATACGGTCAGACTGACGGACGTATTTAATTAGTTAGTATTTATCCGAACATGGCTCTAAACATAAATAAATTTGAATGTTATTTTGATCTATCTACTCGTGTGTTAATTAACCGTAGGTGGATATATTTAAGCATTTAAGTGTGTACGTAATATATATGAAGTGTATTAACTTACATCTATTAGCTATTAAACGGAACTTATTTCGTAATGTAAATTGATCTATGCCTTCATCGTAAAGCCTTCTTTCTTGTTAATTCTTTTAGTGTTATCTGAACACAGACCACATTTTAATTAACCAAAATACGCACAAATACGGTTGTTAATAAAGTTGACGGGATAAATTTTGCAAACTCTCGAAGTATGCGTAATCATTTAAGTAACATTCAAAGTAAACGAAATCCATTTGATTAATGTTCAAAGTAAATCATTTACACAGTGCAAGGCCACTGATAAAGTTGGAATCTCTGAGAAAGATGCCACAATGGACTTTAATACTCGGCACAAAGTCCACGCAAAGAAATGTTCTCCATTGCAGCATATTGGAAAACTTTGAATATTACACCCGGGCCAATGTATCGGAATTTCCTCAGCACTTTCCGGGCGGAATTTTATTACGTTTCCCATGAAACATTGCTGTGGAAATTTATAGCGTTCACTTGTCTTCCGTCTTAGACGGCTCGATACAATAAATGCTGCACCGCGTTTCGTTTAAAACTACGTGCTTTGTAAAACATACTGTGTATGGTTATTACTTTTAGCAACAAACATATTGTACAAATCAATTCTGGAGTCTGAATAATAATATATTCGAAAATAATTTGGTTTATATTGAAAATGAGTATCGAACATCGTATGTCAAAATCAGTGGTTTTTTTAATGTTACTCTAAAATGCTGACGTAGTGTTTAGTTGATTAATAAACTAGCTTATTAAAAGCCTCTCACTCGTACTTTGAAGAAACTGACAATGTACATTGTTGAGTGAAACTGACCTAGAAAATAGGTGTACGTTCATTAGGTAAGAGTAAAAATTTATATCATCTCTGTACAGAGGGTATCAGGACATAGTCCACCACGCAGCCCCACTGCGGCTTGGTTGACTTCACATATTTTCGGAATATTTTTTTTGTTATTATTTTGATGATGTGCAGGTTTCCTCACGATGTTTTCCTTCACTGCTGAGCACGTGATAAGCCAGCACATGAAAATAATAATTTCATTGGTGCCGACACTGGGGATTGAACTCAGGTTGATCGGAGATCGAAAGTATTGAATTAAAGGCGAGCGCCCGGACACTGAGCCATCACGGCTCACAATGAAATGTAGTACCAAATGTGGTACTTAATAAATTTGTAATTTGAATAAGCTGGGTATTATAGTTGCGCGCGCATTAGCTATTAATAATTTTTTTTTATATTTTATCTACCATTATATATAATTTTATATTACTATAATTTATTTGAAAAAGAATTAGCTCCCCCATAATCACTCCTGCCGTTTTCATAGCCAGCCAGTCAGCTTTTCATAACCCGTCGAAAATGATTGTGATTGTGTTCTTCTATTTTAGTTAGGATGCCTAGTCACAATCTTCATGTTTTTTTTTTAGCATTGCCCTTACTTTGGGATAACATTATTCTGTGTTGTAAGGACGTTTTTACAAACATAAATTTCACGCGGACAAACAACCAGATGCGGAACAACTATCTGTGGATCACACAAATAGTTGTCCCGTGTGGGAATCGAACCCATGACCCCCGACGCCGAAGCCGATACCTTGGCGACTGCGCCACGAAGTCATCATCCTCATCATCCTCCTGCC